AGAGTGAAAAACAAGAAAAGAAACCGAGAAGCATTGATGCAGCAGTAAGATGAACCTTGGGACACCTACTCTGAGACCTCGGCGATGTGTTTGTGTCGAAGTTTGACCCACAGCATGTCGTCCTCGTTCAGCAGAGCCTGCTTCTCTGAGCCGTCTTTGGACTTGTACCTGAATGTGAGATCATCCACACAGCAACTTATAGCTTTCTGCAACACGTTGGAGCCAAGAAATGGTGTGACTTTAGGATAAGCAGCTGAGTCAGGGTTTACTTGTAGGTGTCGTTCTGGATATCAATGAGGTCATAGGCCATGGCCTGGTAGGTGAGCTCATGGAGGATGGGGCTTACTGGGTCGAAACCTCGCTCTACGATCAGCAGCTGGGCAGGAGTCTTCTCCTGCCACCATTAAGAGGGTAAAGCTTTAAAACATACGCTTTAACAAAAGAACATGATAAAAACAGAAAAGAAAAAGGTTTATAGTACAGTACTGTTCTATCACGCCACTAATGTTCGGGAAAAAAACCCTGCTTCAGGCAATGTAATAAAAGTTAGCATGAACAAAGGAGGGTGTGAAAAATAAGACTGTTATCAAAAGACTTCGGTTCACACCCAACAGCAGAACTTCTCTACATTCCTTGCTCAGCAGGCATCTCACCTTCTTCTTCCCGCTGTCGTCCAACTCGTAGTGTTTGGAAAGCTTGTCGTCGACCAGCTCTGCAAGAGTTTTGGCGTTCACCATTTTGTCGTCTCTAGTTTGGACATAAACAGTTATATGCAGGTGTTGAGTTTTACAGTTATAAAAGCCACCCAGAGGTTTCAGTGACACCGTTGTTCAACAGTATCTGACTTAACAACCTCACCTTCATCTCGTTGGATGAATGTGACATTTGAAAATAAATCAATAATTTGACCCTCTTACGGTTTTATCATCGTATCCTGTTTTTTAAAGTTTTTAACACATTCAAGTTTGTAGATGGTAAACTTTTCATTTATTAACCCAGACATTTTCAGTTTCATTATTAAGAGCGTTGAGAACAGCAGAGAGGATCATCGGGACTTCCCTCCCCTCAATAAAACACATTTCATCTTATTGCTGCGTGTCGTGAGCCCGTAACATCATCAGTGACCCCTCACACCCCCACCATGGACTATTGTCCCTGCTGCCCTCTGGGAAGAGGCTTTGCAGCATTCGATGCTGGACCAGCAGGTTCTGTAACAGCTTTTCCTCACTGCCATTAGACTCTAAATGTTGTGTAAAATTGGTTATTTTCTTTATAAAAAAATAAAAAATAAATGTCAGACTGTTGAAAAACACTAAATCAAGTCACAAATCGAGACTCTGTATCACACTGACAACATCATACTTGCACTACATGATGAATCTTCAAAATAGAACTCAACTCGGTGTTTCTACTGCTTTTTGCACCATTTTTATTGGTTATTTTTGCACTGGTCTGAACCTTGCACATGAATGCCTTTTGCACCATGGCTCTCCCACACTAATTATATTTTGATGACTGCTGCACTTTATTTTTAATTTTTATGCTAAGCTGCTATTCAAAACAATAAATTCACTGTCGGAAAGCTGTATAAATGAAATTTCGTTTTGTATACACTGTGTACACAAAGTTGTCTAAGGGTACTTTACATTCAACTAGAGGCAGACGGAAACATTGGTCTGCCGATATTTTCAGCTGAAGGTTTTTATTAGTGCGACAATAAAAAGAAAAGAAAACAAAACATGCATCGGATCACTAATTTGTTCATTTAGCAACCATGTCTTGAGATTAAGTGAGACACATGGATTTCAGGCCCCTCTGTTTGTTATCAACTCTTTAAGTTTTGTTTGCTTTGGTATCAAATGTTTTATTTGTGTTCAAAATTAGACTTGTATAACATTTGTTTTTATTTTTTTGAGCTTTTACAGCAGTGGCTTGTTTTATGAACAGTAGGCTGACAGGAAAGGGGATATGAGAGAGAAGGAGAGACATGCGGGAAAGGATCACAATATTTTCTGGCTTTAAATTTGCACATTTCCCTCTCTTATATGTTGTGGTTAATAAGCAAGTCACTTCGAAGTTGAACCTGTTAGAGTATTTCAGTAGGATCATTTTTTTTATGCTTATGCAAATTATGTAATATTGTGAACTTCAGCTCACAGTCAGCACTGGTCTGAAGTTCCAAACAATGTTTTCTAAATAAAAGACAAACGCCACATAGAATTAATTAAAAAACCATATTACTATGCAACTAAATGTTTTCATTTTTGTACTGCCCTTTTTTGCATTAAATGTAAGTCAATTGAAACGAGAGTGACTAAGAAGGCTATCAAGAGTGGATAAGATTAGGGATGAAACAATTAATCGTGATTAATCGATTATTCAAATGATCTCCAACTAATTCAGTAATCGCGTAATTGTTAATTGTAGTATAGAGACTCTAAAAATATGCTTTTAGCAGACAGAGCAACCCATTCAATGCAGCAATTATACCAAAATTGTAAAAAACTATAAATATTTTGCATTTAAGAAAAAACTTTTCCTCCCTCAATATGCTCTATCCAGAACTCCTCATGTGGAAAAGTTTGAGTTTCACCTGCTTTAATTTTGTAAAAAAATCTTCTTTAAGGAACCTTTAGCTATCGGATTATCAATCCGTTAATTGAAAAAATTATCAATAAATTGATCGATTTGAAAAATATGAAGCTGTGACCTAGATAAGATACTTAGTCCATATAACAATTCAACAGGACCCCACTTTTTTAAAGTATTTTATAAAGTGTTTCATAACTTCTGTTTCTTCAAAAGTATTTTTTTAGGTATAACTATTGCAATTTTTTTTTTTTAAACATGTCTGGGCTTCTGGAATCAGATTACAACTATCTCTGGTAAAATTGCTTTAATCCATATAAAATTGGCTGAGATCATCAAAAAAGTGGGGTAACTTGTTGTTAAAATTAACCGATTGTGCAATTTATTTTGGGAAAATCATCTTCTTAACCATGCAGAATAGTTTAGAAATCATTTTGCATACTGTAGTCTTAAAGTTCAATACTTTTCCAAGGAATGGCTAAAACATTTTAAGGGGCCACAACAACCCAGATAACATCTCTTTAGGGCCTTCAGGGAGCATTAAGAGTGAAAACAAGTAAGATCTGGAATAACCCTAAACCTATAAAGTTCCTGTAACAGTTTGGACATACACTGCAAATTCTAACAATAGATGTTCCTCTGCTTAAGGCCTCAGGTGTGCTGTAACCTGGGAAGAGAAAATGATCCTTCTCCGGCTTACTTCTTGTATCTGACCCCCGGGTTCTCGTTCAACGTGGCACAGAGGGTGACGAGCTGGTCTGCCAGAGTCTCCAATGTCTTCCTTTTCTCCTGACTGTGAGGACTGTAGATTTTTCGGAAAGCCCCCGGATCATCACAGGTAAACACCTTCAAAGCAGTCAGTAAAAAAGTTTTATCCAGCATCGAAATGCATCTCTATAAAGCAGAATATCATTGAAAAGATTCATTACACATATTCACATCAGATAATCCATATTAAAGGTATGTTTATATTACATAAACAGGAAATAGATTAATTCTAACCCTACCAACTGATCTATATGTCTGTGTATTGGACAGTATATGCAGTCAATGCATGGTGTTGCTTTGATTTGGGCATCTAGCTCCTCTGCTTAGGGGATGCAACAGTTGTAGACTGCATCTGTTTTTAATGGTCTACTGAAGCAGTGAACAGGCTTTTGTTTTTAAAGCCACACTTTTTCCTTTTCACTCAATTTTTCAAATCAAAATGCTCAGACAAAGCCATCTTCTGTAGCGTTGATATGCTGTGCCTTACTGTTCATATTTTGGGGCTTTATATTAACAGCCTTTTACTAAGAAGTTTTGCCTATGATTCAGCACCAATGAATGCCACTTATGCATTATAGTAATGCATTTTTGTGTAATGTTAGAGACACACAGACCTGATACCAGTTTCATGTACTTGTAAAAACAATCTGATGCATCAGACTGATTCCACTTTTATAGCTGACGAAAGTCATGAAAAACGTTAAGTTTTTCTTAGCTCCAGCTGGTGCTTTCCTAATTCGCACAAAAAAAAAATCCTAATTTTGACTGAGCCTTTTTTTTTAGTATTCACCTGATATACATTAGCAGCAAGTGCTGAAACATAAGTATTTAAATCCCCAAAAATCAGTTTTTTTTTTTATCTTTTGGTGTTATTCTAATATTCTGTTTTCCAAAACCAAACAAATGTTAACAGAAAGCTTACAAGAAGGCAGAGAAAAGCTTTTTTAGATTAATAGAAATACAGGAAGCAGACAGGAACTGCTATGAAGTCAGGATCATTGCATCATGATGTTAAGCTTCCAACACCCTTAAAGTTTTAAGCATGTCTTTCTCTTGCACAACATGAGCTGCAACTATTTACCTGGGCCTCCTGTGGTAAGAAGGAAATGTTGATTTCCTTGCAGACACGGATGTACTTTGCACAGTAAAGCTTCATATTGTTAAACAGGTCATCAGGGCAGTCTGTTGAAATCAGACAACAATGTCACGGTCTACTTTGATCATGTTATATAAAAAAAAATGTATCATTACGAGTAGTTATAGGCTACTTACAGTCTGTGAAATAAACATAAGCCGATTTGTATTTCGGTTTGGGTTTGAAGTCAGCTATGAAGGCGTCCACACACTGTTAAAACAATTTGAATGCATTCATCACAACAAAGCAGAATCCATTTGAAATCAAAGTGTCCTTCATCTTTTCTGTAATGACAAACCTTGGAGGTAGGCGTCATGAAGTAGATGGCCTTCATTTCAGGTACAGGCTCTCTGATTTTGAAGAGATCCTCCACAACTAAACAGAGAAGGTTTTAACTTTAGAAGGAATCATCACACAACGATCCAAACAGAGTCTCCATTTGATTCCAGGTTTTGCCTCAATATCTGCACTCAAACATCATAACCTACTTGTTATTCTTTCTTCCATTAGATCGGACATTTTGCAGCATGATGAGAGAATCTTGGTAGTGAAGGGGTCCAAAATCAGTATCTGTATAGGAAAATTTACAAACTACAAGTAAATACCAATTCAAAATTCCATCACTGTTGTCTAGTCAAGTCACGTCTGGATTAATCATAACTAAAATGTGAATTTCTGTTTATGTATTTGCAGGGCGGATGGGTTTTCCTACCTTCCATACTTCAGATTTCTTACAGTCTGCAATTATTGTGTCTTTTATTCCTGCAGAGATACAAAACAATATTAGGAATTAAGCTTCAGCATCAACTTCATACTAATGGATGTAGAAAACTACCACAAAAAGAAATCCTACTGGGTACAAAACTTCAGTTTTTACAGATTATGAAAATATTTGGTTCTTATGTATCACTTAAAAGGATTAAACAATAATCACCAAAATAAACCAGTTGATATTAATCTTATTTATCATTGGTTTAGGAAAAAAAAAAAAAAAACTTTTTAAACGAAGTTACTGAATAGCTGATTTGAACTGGCTACAAATCAGTGCGTAATTTGTTCATTTTGAGGTGGGATTTAGGGAGTTTTATTCATAATTTCATTTCACATTTAGGCTGAAATAATCCTGACAGAAATCATGGGCATGTCTCATTTATTTAGCATTGATCAGTGGTTAAACGATATTGCATTACTACAAGTGTGACTCAAGCCCTCACCTGCAAACAGCGGGGGATAATTACAGGGAATGGTCAGTTTTCTAAGTTGCACAAAATATAAAGCATCAACTTAAAGATTTTTATAAATTTAGCATAAGTACAGCTAATTAAAATTTGTTATACTAGTTCAGAAAGTGGAGCTCATTTTTTATATAGATTCATTACACATAGAGGGAAATATCTTAAGCAATATCGTTTGATTAATTAAATTATTATGGCTTACAAATAATTTTAAAAAGTATTTTAGTGTTTCATAAGATCAATAAAAAGAGAACATTTTAATCAGGAACGTCAGGCCTATGAAAAGTGTTTTCCTTTGCATGTTTTAAATTGTTCAGGGTTTCTTCACACCTGCCACTTTTGTTCATTTGAAATGGTCTGACGTTACATCTGTAATAACAGCATCAATATTCAAAGCAGAGGTTGATTTCTTCAGTTTGTGCTTCTTTGCTCTGTCCTGCAGTCGTCATTTCAGACCAACAAGAATAACATAATTAACCCACTTTTATCAACCTTTTATAAAAAAAAAAAAAAAATTTAAAATCGATAAGGAGGCGAATAAAATATAGAAAGCATAACTGTTACTTAATTTTAGCAATTTTTATTTCATATCTTTGGCCCATGTTATGAAAAGAAAAGCAGTGAATCAATGTGGAACTTTCTTAGAAATTTTATTAGGATTATGTTATTTTAGAAGAAGTAATGGTTTCATCTCCTTCATTAGAAACCTGTGATCTTCACAAAATCAGAAGTAAACAAGCAGAGGTAAAGAAAAATTTTTATTTTTTTTCTCCTCAGCTCCTGAACAAACTCCTTGAAAGTCTGCTCTGTACAGAAAAGGTTGGCTTAATTAGTTCATGCATGAAAACATTATTGTTTACTAAAGCTGGACACTAGAAAGTCTAAAATGTTTTAATCACTGCTTTTAAATACATTAAATATTTGTTATGGTGATGTATGTCCTTTAAATTTTGTGTGAAGTTTTTCAAAAATATTTGCTTTAAGAATGGTCTTATACTTTTGATTTTAATTGTCTAAATACCTTAAAATGATGACATTTATACTCATGATCATCGACAATGCTTAACTCCACTAAGCACACATTTTGGACAAAACACAATGGAAAAAAGGAATTTTTACCCAAATATTTCACATATTTCTTTTTTTTAAATCATGTTTAAAGTATTTTTGAATATCAAAGTGCAGATTTCATTGTTGGAAATAGGCAACAAAATATTCTTTTTTTTTTTCTTCCAATTAGTCGGATTGGGTGATTTAAATCAGCCGCTATTATTTGTAAACATTATAATCACCTCATATTTTCACAATATGTGATAAAATTCCAGTGTTTGGTTCATAGTTTCATCCATCTGGCTCAGGGGAGGAGCTAGATGGGGGGCCAGGGGTAATTAATCACCCCTGTGGCAACCCCTACATTTTTTTTCACTCAAGTAGAATATTTAAAACAATTTAAATTTTATATACATTAACAATTACTTGACAACAAAAAACACTGTGGTTAATTATGCACATCAATAAACCAACATTAGAGAGGATTAGTACAGAATTCATGCTCTTTCAGACCTAGATGTTGTGTTATAAGAGAAAATGATGTGACTGTGCAAGTCATTCTAAGAGTCTTCAGTGAAATCATATATATTGTAAATAACTATTTTAATAAAAACCTATTAAAATATAAATTCATGTAGATATTAGTACTTGTAAATATCAATTTAATGTTGAATGATATTGATAAAAGTAGGTAAGTAAAGACGATGGAAACGATGTTCGATCCAGAACTCAAACCTGAAAGAATTTTATCCAATATATCTTTTATCTAGATGGATGTTTAAATATATGCATCTATTTGTTAGCAAAGGCTGTAGGAAACTATAGTTAGTCTTTATTTAGAAAATATGGACGCTTGTTCCTGTTGGAACAGTGTAGATTGACCCTAAGGTTCTGGTGCCTATCCACTTTTGGCCACCCCTCAGTATACAGTTGTTATTGTCTGGCCACCCTTATAAAACTTTTCTGGCTACGCTTCTGGTCCGGCTATATTTTTAACCGAAGCCCATCAGATATTCATTCAAGGCACCGATCAGTTATGGGGAAATGTCTCATTTAAACTTGAATAAAAAACGCCGCATTTTCGAAAAAAAAAAAAAAACATTTAAAACTGTTTTAGAAGCAAGGAAACTCTGTCATCTTAGCCACATTGCTTTGTTACTACATCTTCTTTTAGGAGAAAACTTCTGAAGGTGACAGCAAGTTTGTTTCTGTCAGCTGTAGTGTTTTTTTTCTTGCGAAGGAATAAGGTGGGGCTCCAAGACAAACACAAAGTGACCGCTTTGTTATTTTTCCGAAACTGGAAAAAGAACCAATAAATGATAGTGTCAAGTCTGAATTAAACATAAAGGAGCAGAAAAGTCTAGGTGACTTACTTTTCCAAACTATTCGTTTGAGCCCGTGATCCGAGCCTGCTGCCATCTTGTTTTCCTCTTTTTTTCCCCCGGTTTATGTGACACATTTCCGGTTGGGTGACGGATTCTAGATTGCGTATAAAGGGTGCGACTCAGCGACGCTGTAGTTTTTTTATTTATTGAACCTAGAGAGAAAAAATTTGGATGAATGAACAAATAAATTAAACAATATATTTAATAATGAACGGAGCATTTTCATTTTAATAATGCTTAAAGATTGTTAATATTAATCAGACACTTTTGTTAAAGAATACTGGTAATTTATTATAAAATTATTAACATAAGTATCATGGGGATGATAATAGGCAACATACAAAGCATCTGGCCTTTTTCATTTTATCATTCACAGAGGCACACAAGGCAGACATCCCCCATTGGACACATTTAAACATCAGAGCAATTCAAAGTGGCCAGTTAAACTAAGGTATGGATTTTTGTTCTGTGGGAGGAAGTTGATCTACCCAGAGAGTAGACATCCTTTACATCACATGGCGGATTTTTTTTAAATAATCCCATTAAATAGAACAAAACTCAATTTTCTACTGCATTTTGCACTACATTTATTTGCACTGCACTGAATCTTTCCTTATCAATCCCTTTTGCACCATGACTTTAAACTGGTTTCTCCTTTTCTGCTACCCTGTTTACATTCTGATCACTGCTGAACTTTATGGTAATGCTCATTTCACTGTTGTAAGCTGCTCATTCATTGTTGAAAAGCTGTTTGCGTCAAAATTTCGTTTTATATACTTTACAACATGACAATAAAGTTTGTCTGAGTCCAAGTCTAAGAGAGCCCATATGTGCTTGAGTACATTTAAGCATAAACAAACCAACATAACCTAACTGCTGGAGTCATTTTATTATCAGTATAAGCTTAATAATTGGAACTAGAGTATTCCTTATGTATAATCATGGATACAATTTTAAATTCCATTACATTGAACAATTAAATAAATTACATGAATAGCATAAAATGTGTTCTACATTGCTTTTATTATTAATTTACTGTTTACTTTATTTTTTCAAGTATATTATGTCTCTTTAGAAACAAAACATAAAAAAAAAGATAAATCCCTTTCATTAAAGACAAGTCACTTTACTCTAACATGATTGGACCTTTGCCCCAAAGAGGGAGGAGCTAGATTCAGATATATCACTTACTGAGAACAGACACTTTTATATTTAAGAAAATTGGAACATCACAGAGAAGAGTTTGTGGAACATAGGGGTGTGAAGTGTAAAAGAAGAACTTCAAGGAACAAACCAAGGATGGGTGCTGTGAAATGGCTGGTCTTTTTGGTCTTTCTCAACTTTTATTCACAGGTACAGTACAACAAAATTGTTGCTTAGCCATAGAAGTACCTGTACACTATGAATATTAATGACATATTTTTGTAAATTTGCAGGCATCAGCACAATCAGGTATTGTAAATTTTCGTATCATATACCTGGTCTATGGATTTTGCAAATGAGAATGAAGCATAATATTGCATTGCTTATGAGTGCGTACAAGTGCAATCAAAGTCTCTGTTCTTTTTTTTTTCTCTTCAGGCATCCAAGTATCCGTGTTCTCTATAACATCCAAAACTGTGATACTCAGATGGACGAGATATTCTGGAGCCAGTTCCTACAAGATATCTGCAGCCCTCTCAAGTTCACCAAGCAATATCATCGCTTTTGCCATGTATGGTCCAAATACAGTGATGGGCTCTATAACCTCTCTTTCTGAAGATGTAGCGTATACATTTACAGTTGAAGCTTTAGATGCTACACAGACGGTACTAGACTCTGCATCCACCGAGACATCCAAAGGTAGAGTAAGCATCTCTCCAGTCCTCTAATATAATGTGATCACACTTTTTCTTTGCACATGTAATCTTTGCAGCTTATATTTGCAGATATTATAGTATATCAATTATAGAAAGTCAGAAAAAAGTAATTGTTTTCTTTCTTTCTTTCTTTCTTTCTTTCTTTCTTTCTTTCTTTCTTTCTTTCTTTCTTTCTTTCTTTCTTTCTTTCTTTCTTTCTTTCTTTCTCTTTCTTTCTTTCAGTCATGGCATTGCCCAATCTCCTCCCCCCCTCACAACAGAAAGGACATTTCTTCTTCAATTCTTTTCAGTAACTCCAACAAATTACTACCTGATTGACATATTCTGGTGTAATCAGCAAACAACAAAAAATTTACCTCGTTTGTTGAGGAACAGATCATTACAGTAATCATTAATAAAAAAATAAGAATCAATGGCTCTAAAGCGGATCCTTGTGGAACTCCATATATGACCTCTTTATATTCAGAATTTAGCCCATTTATATGTAAATGCTGCTTCCAGATTGTAATATAACTTTGAAACCACTAGTGTGTTATACTATCAATCCCATAATTGAATAATTTTGACAGACTTCTAAATTGTTTTAATTTAGAAGTCTGTCAAAATTATTCAATTAAAATTAAAATGGAAGCAAAATTTTTAATGACTTCTAAATTGTTTTAATTTAGAAGTCATTCAAATTTTTGCTTCCATTTTTCAATCATACACTATATCACATAAATTCTGTATAAATCACATAGAGATATAGGGTAGTAAAGAGACACATTCTAGGAAAGACCAAATAAGTAGCCTAAATATTTATCAAGAAACTTTCAATAAATTAATGTGATTTTAAACAGAATTAGGCCTGCACAGGGTGCCCCAGTTGTTACTCTACAAATGTCCTGTCTTTGCATTCTGTACATTGAAAAACAAAGAAAACACTGACAGGTTACACTAAAATGTGTCTGCATCTCTGTTTTAGCACCCGATATGATGGAGCCTATCAACAATGTCAAGCCAAAGGACAGCAGGACCTTGATGTTGGAGTTTAACCCAACGATGGGGACGACCTCTTACATAATACGAGTTGAGAATACAAATGGCTTCTTCAGAGAGGACACAGTGTCCTCTTCCCCAGCTGAGATCAATAATCTCCACCCCTACACTGAGTACCAGCTCAGCATTATGGCTGTAAAAGATCCAGGCCGGAGCCAGCCACCCAAACCTGTAACTGCAAAAACTGGTAGTGTTTTTCCTCTCTTCTTTGAACATTTCCTTTATTACATTCAAGAGCTATTGTTTGTTTATCATTAAAACCTATGACATTTAATACAAATGAAAACGAATATTCTAGCCAAAAGGGGGTTTATGCAAAGACAATAGTATTGTATGAATTAGAAAGTCCAGAACTGTGTCTCATCAGTCCCTTTTGCCCTACAGACGTCACTTGATCTTTCACATTATACACTACACAGCCACAGCATCATATCTCCTGTTAAAACTGTATAAGGCAATGTGTCAACATCCCTGGGGGCCTTCTCGGATATCCTGGGAAACTCTATCTGACCTCATCTTTGAAAGAAAATTAGATGAACCCATCCTGAGTTTCACGAACATGACTTTTGCTCCTTTCTTCTTCTTCTAACATAGGGAAAAACATCTGATTAATACA